TTTCAACGGAATTGGGAGATAGTAATATTAACTGAATCAATCTGCATGCCGTATAGGAAGTATTCGAGCGCGTCCAGTTTTATAAACTGTTCCGCCGTCCGTAACGATAAATCAGATTACGGGGACGTTTTGCACGGATACGAACCCGTGAAACGACGATGCATCCGTGGACTGTGACAGCAAATGATCGCGGAATAACGAAAAACGAGCAAAGAGCGAATTGCTGAAAATCGAGAGAGTCGGCGCGGCACGCAATTAATCAGGCTCGTTGCCAGCAGTTATTATCGCCATTATTGTGCAAATTATGCAGAATACTTTCCATAATTTCCGAGTTATTTACAATCGGTTACACGACCGAATCAACTGTGCGAGAGCGCAAGCTCGCCGTTCCGCATTCATATTCATATTTTATTCATCGTGTTACTATCACGATACTTCCGAAGCAATCTAGCGGCAAAACGTTTTAAATGTGTAATATACTGTCAATCGCTTTACAAGTGAATTACACAAGTTTTAATCAAGTTTAACAATTTATTCACTTTTTACGCTTTGAAAACATCGGCCACTGTTTATCGATCTAGCATTTCATGTTATTGTGTGCATTCCCAATGGAACGTAGGTAGTGTAGAGAAGTCAAAAGTGACGACGGGACGTATTATCTAACCGGAGTATTGCGCGCGAGTTACATACAGTTTCATAAACTGCATGGCCGGTCGCGATCATAAATCAGACAGCCCGAATGCAGCGAAATATGCTGCTGCTGGTAAACTCTCTCGCGAAATACACAGACATAACGTATCGCGAGAATAGATGATAATAACTGCTAGAAAGAAAGAAATAAAAGAAATGGAGCAGCGTTGCTCGAAGAGTACAACGCAACACGCTGCTAAATAACAACCTAATATATAAATTATAAAATTGAATTATTAATATCTTAAATATCTTTAAAAAAATTAATAATTTTAAAATAATTAAAAAGTTTAAATATTTCTTAAATTTTTATCACGAGTGAAATTGAACTATAAAACGTCCTGTATTCGTGACAAAGCATTATTACACAGTGATAATTAGGTACGATATGACAGAACATCAGAATAAATTTCTACCAATTTCATCATTGGATAATTAAACGTAATGATTAATAATAACCAGCGATTATACGCGATAACCGCAAATTAAATATGCTTACTCTATTCCAAATTCATATGACACAACTTGCCTATTTGAATACGAGTAATTGCCCTGTTGGAATTCTGATGTATTTTGTGCACATGCGTGAAATCTATTCGTCCGCGAATCGAATTTAAGGTAACTATCGAAGTCTGTTTTCAGTGTAAATGACGTTTCGCGAGTCGTGCCATGTAATTTATGAAATGGATGTAATTTATGAAATGGAAACAATAAGCTATGCAAGGTACATTGCAAAATATCGGCGTGAACTGTGCCGAGCAACAAAATCAAAGGCGCTCCTGTACGTCCAAATGTCTCATATTCAGGCAACACTAAATCAGTTTATTGGAAGACCTTGCACGCCACGTCGAGTTCATTTAGTTTACGCATGATGTAAACGTATTTTTTTTTTTTTCGTCAAATATATAACTATATTCTTTCATAAAGGCGTTCTAAATGGAGCGCATTAAGTTTATTGCGTGTCTTATTTCGTGGAACGGTTAATGAATATAAACTTGCAACGAGCAAGATCACACAGAAGGACCATAAATCTTCGTTACAATATGTAAATCTGTCAAACGCAAGGTGTACGAAAAATATGTTTTATATGATGTGAAAGCTTGATCCTAAGAAAACCATTATCGTTTTTTAAAAAAATGTGTCAGACATTAGATTAGAGGGATTGCACTTCTTTTTGTTCTCATTTGAGAGAGAGAGAGAGAGAGAGAGAGAGAGCTCGCGAACAAAGAGAACAAAATGTAATAAATTTCCGAGGGCGTATTATAATCGCGTATTACGCAGATAAAACGTTTTACGATAATAAAAGCTTGATTAAACTGGCGAACTGCTAGCAACAGCGCGATAATAACAATGATAATTACGCGTAACATTAATGCGATCTGCAAGTGATAAATGCAAGTTTCAACGGTGATAGAGGAACGTTATGTCAGGCGGGTATTCGCGAGAATGCAATTTCGCGACTGTCCAGCCGGTCACCGTGATAAATTAGATCGGTCGCGCGCTTGGGGTGCATAGTTTTGGCGAAAAACGTGATGCAACTGCCAAGGAAGTAATGCATAAAAGCCGCATAATTAGAACTAATTTTGTACAGTACGTCGAGAAAAAGATAAATACTATCGAGCTGCGTGCAATGCATGGTACATAATAATGTCTAAACAGACGTTGAAATACGAATATTAACTCTGCGTGGTGTTACACAACAATAGTTCCGTAATCATAGAGGCTAACTGCGTTTAGGAACTTTACGTATATAGTATACAACTTGCAGAAGGCAGCCATTTCCATTGGCTGAATCTCATTTAGGCTGACCAGTTGCGACGATAATTCAAATTTCACGAAGGCTGTCAGTGGCATGTTTAGAGTTTGCATAATTTCTCAATAAACAAAGTAGTTTCAAGGCTTATATAATATATATAATAATTGTATCATTTTCACGATTCCATTATTAACTTAGGCAATAGATAGGGAGGTCCTCCCTTTTATTAATATTTAGTGATTACTGTTATATCTAATCATTTAAATTAATATATGCAATCATAACATTTTAAATATTTTGCGTGGTATATTCAGAAGATTATAATTAAAATAAAAATGTTTCATAAAAAAATGTCAGAGTCACACAATAGTTTTTCGAGAAAGTACTGAATGTTGATAAATATCACGTAAAACCTTTACATTCAAATTTCGTCATAAAATTTTTCTTGATATATTATTTAAATAAATATTTAAAGTATATTATGGACCAAGTATGTACACAGAAGAAAAGAAATTATTAATAAAGGCTTATTTTACAAGGAAATTAAAGATTGTACACTGCGGAAACAAGATGTTATAATAACTGTGAGATATTTAATGTGAGAAATTTATCAAATATATATTTCCAAATGACTATACATTTCACAAGTTAATTTTAATGCATGAGTTGATAACACATATTAAATGTAACATTTATTTAAAGAATCAAATCTGCATTTAATTAAAAAAGTATTTTTTTTAAGCAATCTCAAATTATGCGAAAGAAATAATTTTAACAAAATTAAAAATTTTTCTGAAATATTTTTTTAATAAACTAAAAAAAAATTAAGTTTAATAATCAATAATTTTTGTTCATCAATTTCAGTGTCGAAATCGACGGCAAATTACGTATACGTATATTAAAAATATAATTAACTTTCAATAATAAGTTTGTTAAACATTTTAAGTTTTAACGCGAATAAAAAAATAATATATTTACGTTTTTTTCATCATACACGAAAATAAATTAATTACAAGCATAAACCGTATCCATAATTGGTTCTAATTATTTATCAGAAGAATTATTCAGCAGAATGTAATTTAGAAATTTTTTCTGCAAATATTTAACATAAATTCGCGAAATATGTCCAATATCAAACTGAGAACGTGGTAAAATATTTCGTTTTGCGGATTCTGATTTCGCAATAACCATCGATAATTCCAAATCCCGAATATTTCGCAATAATTTTCATAATATACTCGCAATTTTGTAATATTATAAACATTAAATTTCCAGCGAAAGGGAACATTAAAATTCACGAGCGAGAAGCTAATATTTGATCGCCGATTTAGCATTTATTAATAAGAATTAACGATAATTTCTAAAAAAAGTTTTAATTTTTTTGTTTGTATTTTCTTAAAATTATTAACTATCTTCCAATATTTAAAATAAGAGCTATAAAATATTTTATAAAAACGAATTTTAAAAATATAAATCACACGTTATTTAGCAAATTTTATCTTATCGTATGCATCTACATATGAATTAATTTACGAAGCTGTTCACTTACTGATTTATCATTTATTATATATATATATAATATATGTAAAGATTTTAAGATAATCTTTTACATTATCTAAAAGATTCTTCTCACGTCAAAACATTTACAAAATTTCACATTATATTACTTTGTTTCATTTATTATAAAGTAATCTATCAATTAATACATATGGATAGGCTATATAAAATTGAGTTAAAATTGTGATGTTTTATGAAAATAGCTTTATAAAAATAAATATTGATAATTGATAATTATTAAATTGCACATTGCGCAATTGAAATATTTCTCATTCTTTTTTCTCATCTTAGATTGTATTTTCTTAATTTACATATAAATATACACACATACACATATACATATACGTGGATTCGTTTTTTGTTTTCCTCATCAATTTAAATAGTATTTAATCTTAGAATAAAAAAATTGAAAAAAGGTTGAAAGAAAGGATAATAAAATAATAGTATTAGAATTCTTTCTACAACTTCTTCCTATTTAATTATAAAATAGTTCTTCAAAATATAACCACTCTCTTATTTTTCCATTTTTGTTATTAACAAAAATAAAGCTGTTATTATTCGTAAGAAATAAAATAAAATGAATCAGAAACTTATTCACAACAAAAATCAACAACAAAAATTTATTGACGAAAATTGAATAAAATTTTTATGTTTGTGTGAAAACATATTTATTTGTTATACTATTATTTAATTTTATCTTCTCTTTTATTCTTAATATAATATCTAAGAAACATTAAGCCAATAAGATGAAACATTCAAAAAATTTATCTAACATTATTAATTTAATATAAAATTTACTCTCTGATGACATCAGAAAAGTGTATAACATAATAAATAATATATTGATATAAATCGATGAGCTCTATTTTATGAGCTTTGTATATGCAAGTATATCTCAAGCACAGTATATAAGAAATTAACAAATAATGAGAAACTCCAAGATTAAATATTTATCTTAAAATGATTTAATTTTATGCAAATAAAGAATTGAACTCACCCCAAGGTTGCTTCGCCAGTGCCTGATGCCTCTCGCAGACCTCCTCCTTTTATCAAGATTGGGTTATCAGGTCTCCTCCCGCATAGAACACTCACGTAAAACACTCACGAATAATACATACACTATAATCGCGCGTGGACAAATTGTTCATAAATTTCACTTGCGTGAGAACATTGCAATGACTGTGACCATTTAGCACTGTTTCAATGAGATCTCATACTATCAAGATATCGAAGATGTGATTCCCTCGCCTTAAACAATCAAATTTTGAAATAAAGTCCATTAGTCCGATAACTTGAACGGCACTCCCGAAATATAAAACGCGACACGACAAACTGGCTTCGGTTTGTTTATTCAGTTAAATCGGCGACGATAGGTCAAATGTAAAATCTGAAAAGATAATTATTAAACATATTATTCTAAGCTCTCAATAAAAAAATGATAAATATTGATACTTGAAATTGACAGGCAAAATGAAATTTAAATATAAGGAAACTTACATATATGCGCAACATAAGAAATATTCGAATTAAGATGAGAAATTATTGAATAAAAATACTAATTATATTTCATCGAATATTACCGAGAGTCAAATTGTGAAATATAAATTGTCAAATACAAGACATTAAAAAATTTAATAGAAATTGTTAAACGTAAACCAAAAAAAAAAAAAAAGATTTGGTGTTATTCATATTCAACCTGAATCTCCCCTCGAGAAAGTGTATCAAATGAGAATTTCAAAATGAATAACGTGAGATCCGAAAAGATATGTATAATTATAAATTATAATTAGTCGCTATTAATATGAATTTTTTATGTTTTTGAATGATACCTTTATAAATTTTCGTATCTACTAATAATATCTTATTATTACAATAATGATTGAATACTATTAAAATTATTTTTATAATATAAGATATATATAATAGAGGATTTTTATATTTTTTTAAATAACATGTGTAAGTTAAATAATCTATATCAAATATTCTTTTGTTTCGTTCTGAAGCATTTATCGGATTTCACATTATTATATTTTGCTTTGATATAAATCCAAAATGAATCCTATATAGATAAGTTATTTTAAAAAATGAGAAAAAGTCAGTGTAATATAAAATTAAATACAATTAGTAATTTTTAACGTGTTTTTCATTAAATAAATTAAATAAAATGTTTTATGTAACAGAAATATTTATGCTTTTAAAATGTGCTTCTTTTATTCATGCATGTCATAAATGTAATATATTCTCATATTATATTTTAAAAAGCTATAAGTGTTCTTTTCATCAATTTATACAATATATAATCCTGAAGAGGTAAAAATGTTATTGTAAATATGTATATTTTGAAAAAGTATGATAGAAAAATAAAATAAAAGATATACAGTATTTACAAAATGAATGTTACAAAATAAATAAATGTCAATATCAATTTCTATGTATTATATATGATTTTATGTACATATTTCTATTTAAAATAAATACATAAAAGTACATAAAGAAATAATTATCATCTCACAATTTTTATTATGTACGAGATAGGTATAAGTACCATGAAGAAATAAAAATTTTACGTAAAGATTATAATCGTTTTCTTTATTATGAGTTTTCTCTATTTGACTTGTCTTTTTCTTCCTATTTGTCAATGATTTATTCAATTCTTATAATCTATTTTTAAATAACAAATTCAAATACTTAATCTTAGCTATACTGGGGCCCCAAAAACTCCAAAGTGCAATTTGCTAAATCGAAATTTTTTTCATATTTCTGAACTTTTTTTTCTCTTTGAACTTATATATCTCGAAGTTTCTTAATTCTATTGACTTTTGCACGCTATGGAGATTTATTCTTTAATCAGTTCTCTATCGATTGAAAAAAAATTAATTGAAATATATTCATTTTTACGGAAATTATAATAGCAGATATGGAAAAGATCCCAGGAAGTATGCACATCAAGGATAAAAAGAACAGAGTATGTAGCTAGGATTAATTATTATTATAATATATAATTGATATTAATATTATTCAAAGAATTATTAACATATTATGTCCTCATGGTATTTCAATTTGTAAATATCAAATAAATAATGCATCGATCAAATTTCTCTTTCGTGAGCTCTGTGTATGCAAAAATGTGAATGCTCGCATTTATAAATTGATTCAGGATGAAATATTGTCTTTAATTTATCTTTATTTTAATTTATCTAGAAATAATGGAGATACATAAAGTGTAATTACATTTATATTTAATTTAAATTTCTAACTTTTCTGAAATGTTACAATAATTGTAAAAAAGAAATAAACGCACACATGCAATAAATTCAAATATCCAATAGTTTATAAGAATAAATAATATAAAATTTTGCTTCTATATTATGTTATAGAAAAAATTTTAATTTCATTGTAATCATAAAGAAATAATTATAAATTTAAAAAATATATTTATTTCTTTAATTCTTTTCTAATATATTCCATATATACATATACATATGTAAGACATGGAACATATTAGAAAAAAAACTGAAGAATTAAATATATATACATATATTTTATCTTTATATATGTGTACATATATCACATATATTCATATTCAAAAAGTGCATTCGGACTATATTGTTTATGTATCTGATTGTGTGATAATTTTATAAGTCCATTATTTTAACATTAAAATAAAAAATGATTTAATACTCACAAATACAGTATGCAGTGTGGAGAAATATATATATTACATAAACGTTAATTGAATTGCTCCATCGCGTCATTGCTCGTGTCTGCTCCTCCTCCTCCTCTTCCTCTCAGCTTTCTTTGTTATACATATCTATAATTCATGAAAACATGATTAATTACAACTTCGCGGTATATCATACCGTGTATTTCCGATAGTCACGTATTATCATTTTGAGACAGAATAATGCAAAAGAAACGATCGTCACAAACCACATTTATATGTCTTGCTTTCTGTCTCGTGAATTAACGGAAGGAATAAATACCAAACGAACAAAAGAGATGAGAGAAGAGAGAGAAAGAGAGAGAGAGAGAGAGAGAGAGAGAGAGAAATTTTAAGAAATCACGCTTATTAATTCAACTTGATCTGTGAAAGGTACATTACTACTTCGATATGATCATGCTAATTACACAACTGTTCGCAGAGAATGTTCGCGTTCAATATTTCTCAATAATTATTGCAATACGCAGAGCGCTATTACCTGCCGTCCGAGCGATCCAAATGTCGTCGTGCGAATCATGGCGCGGCAACCTTGAGGTAATAACGCGCGCCGTGCGCGGCACAAACAACCGCCAAGGTCGCATACCTTTACCAGTCGGTACGTTTCCCCCCCAAAATACGTAACGCATAGCGAAATACATACCGAATATTCTATTCTCTATGACGATCGATAATTCATGATTCCAACAGCGTATCTCTCTGATAATTTTTTTGAAGAAGTACGTGCGCGAAGTAGTTGACGCCATTATGTGCGCGCGAATCGTTTACCGTGAAGTTAGGTGCTCTCGCGAGGAATGATCATAACTGCCGCGGCGCCAGTCGTTTTCTCGTTTGAATGTCGGCGCGCGGATATAAAATATCGAGGTCGTATAGCAGTCATTGTCGCTATAAAATATTTAAAACTTTTTAATGCATTTAGTTGAAATATTCTGTTCTTTCCATTTCATTAATTTCGACAAATCATGTTATTATAAAATAAGTATTCCGTAATTTAGTGATTATAATGATATTGTTACATTGTATTTGTGCAGCTTTTTTTACCATGTACAAAACTTGCTAATTTAACGGTATTGTTAGTCAAAAGTTAAAAGTTACAGAATAAAATCCTAAGTCTTTTGTTTACTTGAAAAGTAAAATTTATAATATTTAGTTAAAGAATTTATATAAATTAATTTTTACCTTATCAAGTTTTTATAAAATTACATAATTTCAATAAAAAAAAATATAATTTAATTTCTACAAAAAATGTAATAATCTTTTCAATTATTAAAGTCACACAATTTTACTCTTCTCGTAACATAAAAGTTTAAAAGAAAGAAATAATAATAACAAATACGTGTTTAATTTTCCAATCCCAAGAAAGAATAAAGATAGATTTTAGATTCTTAGATTTGTAATGTATTTGCTAATTTTTAATTTAAGATTTTGTGGAGCAATTATCTCCAATATTCAAATTTAACTAAAACGATGGATTAAAATTTGTTATTAATGAATCAATCAGAATCAATTGAATTTTTTAATATATAAATAAAAGAGCAAGACACAAATTTAATTCGTTTGACAAATTTAATGAATGTTTTAATATGTACAATATATAGAAAAATAAAAGACAAAATCACTGAATTGAAAATTGAAAATTTATATAACTGAATTGTAAATATCAATAATAGTTGATAAATTTATAATCGCATAAATGCATTTATAAGCACAATTCGTGAGCTCCGTTTTCATCATTTTTAACTTCAAAACTTTTCTCGATATTTTATGTTAAAATTTTCGATACTAATCTCCAAAATATATACGTTATTAAAACATTTTACAACAATAGAACATCTCGCATATATATTCTCTTACTGCGTGGCATCAATAGTAACAGAATATTAAATTTAATGGACGAATCGATAACTCTTGAATCGTGTTTCCGTATGATTACCTAAGCGTGTAGCAAGCCTCGTAACTGAGGGTACCTAAAATATGGCACTTGCCAAGCCTTTTTACATAGAATTGGCATTTATTACCGGTCATCATAAATAATAGCAGCACCTGATGGCGGCGTGTTAGCGTGAGAGAAAAAGAGAAAGCCTCTTACCATTACGTTTATTACCACAATTATCGTTATCTGCTCATTACTGCAGGAAGCGGTCGAGGGGGTGGTTTATAAAACAGTGATCACATGCACGTAGTTCCATAAAGTACCGGCCGTCATGGCGATAAATCAGAATTTATACTGAGCACGAATACCTCACATGCACTTCCTCCTTCTATTAAATGTTAAAGCGAGCGTTGCTTTTCCTAATTTTTGACAAAAAAAGAACACTTTATACGCAAAAAAGAAATTTGGTCTCCAATTGTTACATTTATTTTATTATTTATATATTTTTATTGATATGCAAGTAACTGATATGTTTATTTGTCGATACAATTATATTAATTGGATAAATTTATATCAATATTTTTATCTATGTGTAAATATTATGGAAATTAAACCATTAAAAGTGACGTAATTGTTATTTCATTACATTGTTTGTGTATTATTTATTAATTTGTATAGTTTGTAAGCTCTAATTTGGTATTCGATGATGAAGTCAGACAATGTGTACTGCTGTATATACCTATCAATCCTTTAATTGCGACAAATAGAAACTAACAAGCTTTGTAATAGTACGTGCTGCGTATGCGAAACAATGGCAATCTCTATAGAACAAATATGCTGAACTACAGTTATTGTTCATCGTTCAATTAGTCTTCAACATATTGGGGGAGAAATTTGATGATCATATTCTCTATAATCCTTGAGTTTGCCAATAACTATCATTATTCTCCCTTTTTCGATTAAGATTTTGGATAAATTTTAACGATCTATTTGGATATTTACTAATCTCATACTCGTCAAGTCTGTCATTGTTTATGATGCAAGTTTATATCATCAAGATTATGAGAACAGTCGCACGTGGTGGTTAGTGGCTAATTCCAACTTAATACCATAGAAATGACGCGACATTGACAACGAATTAAATGGAATTAGTGAGTAAATTACATATCGATTCCCTGCGATCCTTTATGATATATGCTATACACGAACCAACAAATGTATGTGTTAAAAATTTAAAAAAATAGTGTGATAGGTTTGATTGTATAATTCTTTTAAAGCTGATATTCATGTAAAGCAATAAAATATTTCAAATTATAAATGAATGTGTATGGAATATTAATTTTTCATTTTGATTACAGACTTCAGTCTGTATCAAATTATTTGAATTTCGTTTTATAATATTTATGTATTTGTTCTTATAAAAATTTAATGCAATAATAAAAGAAACGTTATGTAATAAAAGAAACATTACTCCTAGCGAGATATATTTAAACATAATAAAATAATCTAACATATTAATTATGCATTTTTAATTTATCCATTTATAAAAATAAATATACGCAGAAAAATATTCTATTATTAAGAAAAATAATTACTCAATTTACTTTCTTCCTTTTAAATAACAGTTATCTTTAACAAAGAATATCTTTGACAATAATCTTAAACATACTTAAAATTAACTTCTTAAAAAATATTTATTATAATATTTTAGAAAAACTTATTATGTACTCAAAACAAGAATTTTTCTTTTGAAGAATATTATAAACTTGATCAAAGAAGTGACTTTATAAACAAGTAAATCGAATTCGAATATGTTTTAATTTCATAATTTTGATTAAAGTATTAAAATTACTAGATCAGAATATGTTTTCAATTTTGATGCTTAGACTTATATGATGGATTTGCGGACATATAAACTTTTGAAATACTTGAAATAATTATTATTGTATCGTGTGTATTTTTCTGTGTGTAAGTATGATTAATAATACGCAGATATACTGAAGAAATAAATATATTTCACTATTCCGACGTCAATTATACGTATGTAGATGGTTCGCAACAGAACGAGAACGGAATGCCGTGGTTCGAACGCGACAAACGAAGGAGAGCGAAGTCTGGGTACAAGAAGGGAGTAGACTCCAATTACAACGTTTAGGGGTGCCAGGCACGAAGGGGCATCCGTGAAGCCCCAGCCTCAGGACCCCGAGGCTGTTCCCGATTTTCACATAGAAAGGGAGCGACAGTCGGCAGGCAGCAGCCAAGCAGCCGCCTTGCTCGATCTCGGCAGCTGAGTCGAGCTCGTTAGATTTTCTCTGTTCCCTTATATCCACGTTATCCGCATATCAGCACAATCCGCTCCTTTTTTCGCGACTGGCATTGTCTGCCGTTTTGCATTCTGCTAATATAACGTGAATCTCGCTAGCTACGCTGTCGTGTCTCCGGGAAGACACGTACCTTCATTTTTATCTGCCTCCGAGTCATGTCGATATACATGTATGCTGCTCGATGTCATTTATTTATATATTCGGATTTCATAAATAAAGATTGCACGGAGAGAATGGTTTTGCTGAATTATCTAAAAATTTAATTGGATATACAGATCTAAAATTAATTTTGTTGGGCCAAAAATAATTGTAATGGTCAAATTGCTAGAATAAAATATCTTTCGCGGCATTGCTTATAATTTGATGATTGAACACAAAATTATTTTTAGATCTAACTAAATTTTTAGATATTGCTACAAAATCGTTCCTTTTTGTGAGAAATAGAAGACTGTGATTATTAAGGATTGATTGCAAAATTGCTGTATTGTAATAATCAATTATTAAACGAATTATAATTGTTATGTGCTTATTTATAAAAATTAGTAGAGCTAGAATTTCTGAAAACAAGCAGAATAATGTGAATAATAGATTATTATTTTTATGAAAACTCTTGGATATCATTGACAAATTGTAAAAATAATAAATCCTATCATCCCGAAACGAAAATCCGATTGATATATCTATACAATTTTCAACAATGCGCAATTTTCATCTCGTGTGCTTATATTTTCAGTTTCCAGTTGTTTGAACTGGATAAAGAGAAAAATCAAGGGACGAAGAACGGTAGATTTTCCATTGGTTTGGTAAAAAAATCGATAGAGCTGGCAATAGCAGATATTATTTCATGCTTCATCCACTATCCGGTGTTTTGCATGTAAAACGAAAAGCGCGGAAGCGCGTCGTCGTTCATATACGATCGTTCAATCTTTGCCATTATTTTGCATACGGACTACGTTATCGATACTTGCAGGTCCTCTCAATATTACACGCTATGTCTACCTGGCGTAGCGACTCGCCATGTCCGTACATCTCGTCTCATTCCACCGTCTGGATAAAGACGAGATGATCGACATGGCTGGGGATCGCGTTACAAGACCTCGGTGATGCGTCGTCAACTGCGAGACGAGGATGTTGCACGATGTAGTCCGAAAACAAGGGCACTCCTCAAATACCATCTCGACGGATCTCGAACCCCGTTAAATTGTGCTACTCGTTTAAATTTGCATTATCCGATCGTCGGCACGGCACTACCATCCTCTGTCGTTCCCCATGCGGATCGATGCGCGTGATTAAGATAAAGAGATTCGTAAGCCTACGGGTATACAGGAACACCTCAACAGGGTAATCAGCTTTTGCGCAAAAGACACTAAGTCGATCGACGAAACGCGACGGTTCAACGCATTTATCATAATATTCAAACTGAAATGAGATCTTAAACTTACTTTTAGTTAAAACTTCTGAAGGATGAAATATTGTCAATCGATAATCTTGCCATTGACACGTGCTCTCATTCTCGCTAATTCCATTCTCCATATAGAAACTGCACACAGAAAGGATGATTTAGCAGTTTAGCTAAAGTATTTAAAATAAAAATTTAGCTAGAAATTTTAGAGATTGTTTAAAAATCTAATTATAAATACAGATCTGGAAATAATTTTATTAGATCATCACAATAATTATGTAGGATAAAATTAAATTATTATTAGGATAAAATTATGTAGGATAGAGTTCAAATTGAATGCTAAAATGTCAAATTCTTTGCAGAATTGTTTGTCATGTTTGGGATGCTGCATAATTATTTTAATGGTCCAACAAAATTATTTTCATTTCTTTATCTACCTAAATATTTTTAACAAAATCTTTTTATCTTGATTTATATTCCAAATGCCATGCATGCATATATAACATTTTTTATTATATGTATTATATTTATAGAAGATGGTACGTTTTTATATGTTATAAATTGCGATATTTAATTTAATTCTTATTTCACGATCTTTTTGCTCAAAATTAATTTGCACATGTCCGGTGCAGAGTACATTTTGACATATGTCGCTCCGTTTCATTAGGTAACGTCAAAAAAACATAATTATTCCTCGTTTATTAGCTCTTTTTAACTGCTTTTAATGTCGTTGTCATGTCACGCGACGTGCAGTAAATCCGTAAATAATAATCGAATTGTCGCTGGTGTTTTTGACGTATTAACGAACGCAGTTCGTAAACTTCTATTGAATCACTACTGCTTTCACCCAACCGTTTGTTCATCTCGGCATAGACACCGCGAGAAATAATAAAGTTATTACGTCCCCGTGACTTTTATCCCTTTTCCTCCTTTTTCTGCATCTGCGAACCGCGTTCTCGATCTCGGCACAAGCTATTATTCGCGTGTCAGCCCGCGAACTTTTTACCTCCTTTTCACGAGACGCAGTGATGTATCCTATTTACACAAACTTGCGTTGTTCCTTGCAGTAGAAAGTGTCTTGGGCTCTTATTGCTCCGTTTCGACGCCATTTATACTTTTTTTTCTGCATACCCTTCAATAAGAACAATGCCGATGCAGCTGAAATTACATTACGCTACGGGAATGAAAAACGATGAGAAACGCGGAAGCTATAAGGAAAAGGATACAGCGAACTACGTAAAAAACGTGATTTTCAATAAATCTTCCTTTTGTGCCCTTAGAAATATCACATTTTCGTGACAGAATTATACTGCTTCATAAAAAGCTACAAGAATAATCGAGCGATATTACTCTTAAATCAGTTTTAATGAATATTCTATATTCAAGTTATAAAAATATGCAAAATAACATCGTATTATTAATTTAATTAAATACGTGTATGACTTCTAAATCTGATCTCTTCATTTTACATCTATTTATAATCTTTTCAAAAATATTCGCTAGCGGATCAACCTTAGAATGTAAAAAAATTTGTTCCTCAATTTAATTTTATTCTATTGTCTACAACAGTAATAAGTTTTAAACCATAAAAAATTAAATAGTATACATTAACAATATGAAGAAGTCATACATGAAGAAGTCATATGAAGCAAACTCAAAAAAATAAAATCATAATAATCTTTTAATTAAAGCAAACAAAGGTATTTATGTGAAAATAACGGTTTTTTTGTCTAAATGTTAAAACAAAAGTTTTACTTCTTATTTCAATCTTTACAGATAAAAATTAACGAATTATCAGTAATAAATTCGATATAAAATTGAATCTACAACGTTACTATTTAAAAGCTAAAGCGATTAAGAGTTCATTCTGTAACACCAAAATTTCTTGACAGGCTATACATAACTTCGCTGAAACTACAATCGTCGATGTCTTCACTGGAGTTGGATCGTGTACACAAGCGTGATCGTGATTCTGTTTAAAGTCGCTTGTCCTCTGGATATTTAATGCGACTGTCTGAATGTTTGTCGCGAGCTAGTAATAATAATTTGAGCTAGTAACATGATTAAATGTGTTAATAGTAATAACACGTGTGATGTTATAAAAAAAATACTTCGTTTGTACTTACGAATAGATATGTAGACATATTTCACAATTTCTTTCACTTTTTTAATATGTCCACATCCTCCTCTTTGCCACCGTGGTGCTAAAATAAAAAAATTCATTTGTAGTTAACTATATATACAATATATAACCATTACTTTTCGTGTGTGTAGTATAGATGCCAAGCGGCTGCTCCTTGCAGCATATTAATGCATGTGTAGCTAGTGCAGCATATTAAGATATAGAAGTTATAAGTTGGTATACACACTAAGCATGAGACATGTTCACGTATACATGGTTTATGTTTAGTGACAGTATAACCGCTTCATGCTGTTAGCATGCTGTAAGCGGTTGCTATCTGGCATTTACGTATTTGAAAAATTCTTGTATTTACATTTTGATTCAAGCTCAGATGACTTGTTTCATTGGGGTGGGACTTCAGACACTATGTCAGCAAAATAGCAACAGAATATAGAATTAAACACAAATATATCTTGTTAACAAGCTGTTGAAAAAAATTTAACAGAATCTATAAGCAAAACCACTTAAATGACAAACACTAAAGAAACAGAACAGACCTATAGTATACTCTGACAGTAGATTATCAATAGAAACCAGAGAGACCTCGCTGACATAACGTGAAGCTAAACTGTCAGTTACAAATGAAACAGAGTCTGTTCTGACATGATTTAACGGCAGATTGTCGATAGAAATCAAACAGACTGCTAGTAGACACTGCTTGATTTCTACCGACAATCTGCCGTCATATTATGTCGACAAGCTGTATAAGCAGAATATGAGTCTAATACAAATTTAAAGCAGACTGCTATCATATTCTGTACGAATCTGTTAGCAGTCTGTTAACAAGCTGATATTTTGCTTACTTGAACCTACGTTTTGTAATTGTTGTAGCTGCGGTTGGAATTGCGGTTTCGGTTGCGTTTGCTCTTGCATTTGTAACTGATTCTGATTCGTTTGTTGCAATTGCTGTTCTCGCAGTTGCTGCCGTTGTTGTTCTCGCAGTTGCTGCTGTTGCAGTTTTCGTGATCGTAATATTATTAGTAGTTCCAACCGTTGCAGTTGTAGATTCATTAATTTTAATTCTTCACAAATCCCATCTAATTTCCTTTGTAATAATTGGCATCTTTCTATAACATATATAAATAATACATATATTATTAAATGAAAATGGACCGAGAAACAAATGAGTGAAAAGAATCATATTTGATCAAGGTGCTGATGCAGAGTATTTTCAAAGATTAGGAGTGGAGCAACAAAATCAGATTTAATCAAAATATAAAGTAATCATATGTATGCATAATTGTGTATATATATTAGGTGTTGGAATTAATTCGTAGCGTTTTACAAGAGATGGCACAAGCAGTACACTATTTCGTTGTTACCTATAGTTCTGTATACATTGTAAACATCTATCATAGGACGTCATTTGCCGTACATAACCTTTCTTAAAATCATAAATAACAATACTGTATAATTCATTGAATATGTCAAAATTTGTGCCAGATAAAGTGTTTTTGCGGGGAGTTTTGCTTCATTACTTTAATATGAACAAAAGTGCAGCTGAAGCTCATCGTATTTTAGTGGATGTGTATAGTGAACATGCTCTGGCTGAGCAAACGTGTAGGAAGTGGTTTGCACGTTTTAAAGCTGGTGATTTCGACTTGGATGACAAGGAGCGACCTGGTCAGCCGAAAAAATTTGAAGATAACGATTTGCAGGCACTGCTCAATGAAAACTCATGTCAAACACTTAAAGAATTATCTACGTCATTGGAAGTTGACTTCTCAACAATAGGAAAACGTCTTAAAAGTTTGGGCATGATCCAGAAGGAAGGACATTGGGTCCCATATGAATTGAAACCAAGGGATATTGAGAGACGTTTTCTCACGTGCGAACTGCTGCTTCAACGGCAGAAAAGAAAAGGTTTTTTGCATCGGATTGTTACCGGTGACGAAAAGTGGATCCATTATGACAATCCAAAGCGCAGAAAGTCATGGGTTAAGCCCGGCGAACCATCAACATCAGTGGCAAAGCCCAATATCCATGGCTCAAAGCTCCTGCTCTGTATTTGGTGGGATCAGAAGGGTGTCATATACTACGAACTGCTAAAACCGCATGAAACCGTTACTGGAGATCTCTACCGACGGCAACTGATGCGCTTGAGCCGTGCATTGAAGCAAAAACGGTCGGAATACTTCGAAAGACACGATAAAGTCATCTTGCTGCACGACAATGCTCGCCCACACGTTGCAAAACCGGTAAAAACATACCTGGAAACACTTAAAGTGATGGGAAGTACTTTCATTAATGTATTTTTTAATGCACATGTGAAATAAATAACATTCTTTCATTAAAAAAACGCTACGAATTAATTCCAACACCTAATATTATATATAAATTTTTGAATGAATTGAAAAAATTGAAATTTTTATTTTCTGTTCTCTGTTGCCTGTTCCTTTTATTGTATAAAAGATTGGAATTGTGACAACAAAATAGAGATAAATGAAAACATAAATCAAATCCATTAAAATATTCAGTGAATTAGTACATTTAAAGTATTGTGCTGATGCAGAGAATTTTCAAAGATTAGGAGTGGAGCAACAAAATCAGATTTAATCAAAATATAAAGTAATCATATGTATGCATAATTGTGTATATATATTAGGTGTTGGAATTAATTCGTAGCGTTTTACAAGAGATGGCACAAGCAGTACACTATTTCGTTGTTACCTATAGCTCTGTATACATTGTAAACATCTATCATAGGACGTCATTTGCCGTACATAACCTTTCTTGAAATCATAAATAACAATACTGTATAATTCATTGAATACGTCAAAATTTGTGCCAGATAAAGTGTTTTTGCGAGGAGTTTTGCTTCATTACTTTAATATGAACAAAAGCAGCTGGTTTAAATGAATTGAAAAAAATTGAAATTTTTATTTTCTCTTCTGTTCCCTGTTCCTTTTATTGTGCAAAAGATTGGAATTTGTGACAACAAAATAGGGATAAATGAGAACATAAATCAACAAAATCCATTAAAATATTCAGTGAATTAGTAAATTTAAAATATTGTGTTGATACAGAGTATTTTCAAAGATTAGGAGTGGAGCAACAAAATCAGATTTAATCAAAATATAAAGTAATCATATATAAATATATGCATAATTGTGT